AAACAGGGAAGAACAGGGCTCTGGTCCCTGCTTAGAGTATAGATTTTGTATTTCACAAAAAGAAGTACAGTTTCCATTGTTGGATGGGCGCTCCTCCTAGTGTACTCACAGTCAAATTCAAACGCACTTGTCTTTCTGGCCCCGTGAATCTCAAATGCTTTTCTCTATTGCTTCCAAAGAGTGCAACATAAAAGGTGGATGATCCCCACTGATGCAGCTGTTAACCTGATGCTTACAGGGTATTTTATCCCAGTGACCAGAACCTCCCATCACCGAATACCCAGACCAAGGAGGGAACCAAATTTTCTAATTGCTAAATTAGTATCAAAAGCAACTGCCAGCATTTCTACTTCAGACAAAACTTTTCTCTGTAAGAAAGGATGTCAGCACCTCTCCTAATAGCTGAGGTTCCCAGGTGGCTAAAGGGCCACTGCTGTTCTGAGGCAGCTTTCCTTGTGGTCAGAAGTGATCCAGAGCTTAGACTCACTCTGTTCTAAATGTCTCCATCTAGCTTCAGGCAGCCATGGGCTGGCCATGCTGGATTTAGACTGTGCTCTGCTTGCTGGATTTAGACTGTGCTCTGCTTAGCCTGCTCAGATCTGCTTCTTCTGGATCCCATTAGGAGGTGCTTAACTTCCCACGAAGTTAACACTAACACGGTTCTGGATTCCTCTCTCATGCGTAATATCTGACACATAATCAGAAACAGATCCTGGCCCAAAGCTCCAGCCAGCCAAAAATGGAGAGAGACTGGCTGACATTCTGCCAGGGCTACATTCTCACAGGAATACTGATGCCCATGGGATGACATAGATGTAAATTCATTTGATCCCAGTATTATAGCTTGTAGCTGAAACATTATAAAATTGTAGTGGATACCATGAAAAATAATGGCTTTTCGGATACTTCACACTGCAACAGCAGTTAATGGTTCTGCTCAGATGCTTGGATGAAGCTGGAATGACACCAGTTGTAAGATAACATTTCCCAAAAAAAATAACTTCTTGAAATGTCTGAAGCACTACATTCATATAAAGGAAAAAAAATAATCCCACCCCGCAACTCCAAGTAAATACCCTTCTAAGTACCAGGAACCAGATCCTCAGTTAATAGAAACCCTTTAAATAGAATGGATTTAAGCAATTTACAGATACTAAGCACCTCTGCTTTGGAATAAATAGAAATGAAAGTAAATTTTTTTTTTCCATTCCCTCCTTTTCACAATTCATTTTGCTTGGATCTTTCCTAAGGATTGATATGAAAGCAATTGCCTTTTTGGGTAAGTGTGCAACATAGGAATCCAGGGTTTCTTCTCAGCAAAGGAGGAAAAAAAGAAACTTTGGAGCTATCTACAACCTTAAATAATCTCCTCTCACTAAAAAAGCCTGACCTTGGTACTTCTAAGACAGGTAATAAAGTGATAAAGTTCATTTCCAAGACAGATGAGAAAATGCACTGAAAATTGTTTGTACCAAACTGAAGAACACATTTAAACCACTGTATCTGGATAGGCATGTATCATCAAATTTTACCTCCTGTGTGCCCCATTAAGTTATTGCAGTAAATATGACATCCAAATGTCCTAATCTGATCAGAAATTACTGCCTGGGTGTTGCAAAGAACACAGCCAAGAGCCCATTGACTTAATGGTAAGAAGGGGATTATATATACTATGATCTGTTCTTCTGCCTTTATTGGAACCCCAAACTTCTTGAGTTGAGTTGAACCCATTTACTTCAGTCCTGAATTTGTGCCAATTATTCTGTCAAGGCTGAAGTAATTGAATCTGAGGTCATGTAAGCCAGGCCCTTACCTTCTCCAAACTGGCAGAAGTCTTCTTACTTCAGCCAAGTGAGGACAGTCAAAAGTATGAAAGCGAGACTGGCAGGGTTTCTGGAGAACTCCTGTCTCTTTTGCTATTGCACACATCTCTCCAATCTCTCACAGAATACCATTAATGAACTGGAAGCGCTGCATCTAGGAATCATATTAGGTTTTCTGTCACTGTCCTATCACACTGGAAAGCTGTTTCAGAATCTGACTACTCTGTTGGTTTGAAAAAGTGAAGTAAAAAGGCACTTGAAAATAGCAACACTGGCCTGAAAGGGGGGCCAAAAAACTCTATTATATCATTTCAGTTTGCTTCCAACATAAAGTCTCTATTTAGTAGGCATCAGTCCAGCTTGTCTCTAACTATTAGTAATAGTTAGTAACTATTGCCATTTGTCTAAATAGAGTGAAATTTTGATAATATGTCTCACCTAAGTTCTTTCAGACATTTTAAATATAATTGCAACACCTAAAAATATTTCTCCTACCTCACTTGTTGCTTGAAGATATGTGACCGTGTAAGGGAGTGATTGCAATTTGACATGTTCCCACATGCTAGGAGTGGCACAGCAGCAAATCTCTTAGCCTCCAGCAAGCATCAAGTCATCTAATTAACCGGCTTCACAGTTGATTATATTAAACCATATCACCTTGCATCTGCCTCATACACAGATACTTAACTCAGATTTGCAAATAAACTGATTTTGCCTCTAAGCCTTTAGACAAGAGGTCTTAATGGAGTTTTGCACCTCGAGTCAGCTGCTGTGATCTGCCTTTTCAAGACATGCCAGAAATTCAGCCTGTTCGAGTTTAGGTCCAAGGAAAGGCTACTCCCAAAGGCACACTGCTAAGGAAAATACACAAGCTGTCTACAAACCTGGACTGGAAATTATTTGCTCAAAACATCTCAGCCAGATGGATAGATTGGAATTAATTTATGTAGAGCAGGTTGATAAGTGTATGTGCAAGGTTATGTTGCTTTGCTGTCTAGTGTTCTGTGAAATAATGGCCGCTGCTCTCTTTCCAGGGCCAGTCAACCTACAAAATTTGGTGCATGAAATAAAAATCTTCATCAATAGTGTATATTAGTGTCATGACTTGCAAAACCTATATTATTTTGTTTAAACATTAAAATACGCACTTTTTGCCTTGAAATGGACTGTGACAATTAATTGGACAAAAACAGTTTCTTGAGATCTGAAGTTACAATGGCAGCCACTTAGCTGAATGCAAGTGAGAGAAGATAAGGTTTTACCAAGTAAAAGCTAAAGTAATATTAAAGTAGTGCTTGATTAACAATATTACATTGTTAATAATGTATAAGATTGCTTTTTACCTTGTAACAGATAGGCATTCTCAGGACCATGTTTGTCTTACTGCACTTCAGAAATCACAGGGTGCTGTAGTAGCAATTACCATCCTTTGCCTTTGATGTGCACTTTTGAAGCCCTGCAAAGATCACAGTTTAAAACACCTTCAATTCCTAGACTTCTAAGATATATTTTTCGCATTTCACTCAGCCCTTAAGCAATTCCCAAAATCTCACGTGCCCTTGAACTTCAGCATAAAACAAAAGTAGAAATTTAAACTTTGCCTTCCCAATACCAATCTACCTCTGCTGCTCATTCTCCAATAGACAGATCACAGCCAAGGCAGGAAACTGCAAAGCCTGGGGGGTAGATTGGCCTCTCCAGTGGTGCTCATACACTGAACAGCAGGTTGCCCTTGGCTTGTCAGCTAGGTCCCACCACAGCAGCATGGCCCTAGCCAGACCTTGCTGAGTTTGCTTCCAAAATAAAGTCTCTATTTAGAGGCTTTTTGGCATTAGAACCTTGCCCTGTAACCAACACGTACCTTCTGAGACAGCAACCCACCCTTAAAAATAAAAAATAAAAAAAAGATAAACCAAATCAAACTCCAGGTTTTAGCTTGGGTGCTGACCTTCTCCACCCTGCAGCTACACATACTTTGGTCACCGGCAAACATGGAATCATAGCACCAGAGAATGTTTTGGTTGGATAGGACCTTTAAGATCATCTAGCTGCAATTCCCTTGCCATGGGCAGTGACACCTTTCACTACATCAGGTTGCTCAGTGCTCCATCCAGCCTGGCTTTAGGCACTTCTAGAAATGGGGCATCCACAATTTCCCTGGGCAGCCTGTTCTAGTACCTTGCCACCCTCACAGCAAAGAATGCCCAGTGAGCACCATGATGGGGCCCTCCTTGCATACCCAGTCCCTTTCCCCAACCTCAGAGGCCCCTCAGCTGCATCCTCAACTTGGACAGGGAAGTAACCCCATCAGCCTTCCCTCCACCCTGGAGACACCGGCTCCCTGACACCTCATAGCCTGCCCACTGCCACGCTCCTCCACGTGTATCCATACACCTCTCAGTCCCGGTGCATGAATCACAGAAGGCTTTGAGTTGGAAGGGACCTTACAGATCACCTAGTTCCAACCTCCGTACATGGGCAGGGACACTTCCACCAGGAAAGACTGCTCTGAGCCCCATCAAACCCGGCCTTGAAGACTGCCAGGGATGGAGCAGACACAATTTTTCTGGGCAACCTGTGCAGAGACCTGACCACCGTCACAGTAAAGAACTTCTTTCCATAATCTAATCTAAACTTACTATATCTCAGTTTTAATCCACTCCCTTTTGTCCTGTCACTACACACCCTTGTGTAAAGTTCCTCTCTAGTTTTCTTGTAGCTCCCTTCAGGTTCTGAAGGGCACAGTTAGATCATCCCAGGGCCTCCTCCAGGCCGAACAATCCCAATTCTCCAAGCCTTTCCTCACAGGAAAGGTGCTCCATCCCTCTCATCAACTTCGTGGCCTCCTCTGAACTTGTTCCAGCAGTTTTATATCCTTCCTGTGCTGGGCCCCCCGGAGCTGGATGCAGCACTGCAGGTAGGGCAGTGGCAGGAATGACTGGGACGTTGGGGTTTTTTTTGGGGTTTGTTTGTTTGTTTGTTTGTTTGTGGGGGGGTTTGTTGTTGTTTTGGGGTTTTTTTTGTTTGTTTATTTTGTTTTGTCGGCACATTATTCCTAACCCACGGTAAGCAGCTCGACTCTGAGGCGGGCGGCCCCGTGAGGGCGGGGCGGCGGCGGCGGCGGACGCCGCAGGAAGCGGGCGCCGGGCCGGAAGCGGGATGGGAGGGCGGGCCGGGGGCGTCGCCGGGGCCGCGCCGTCCGCCGCGGCTGTGGCCGCCGCGCCCATGGCCCAGCGGGCATCCCGGGGCCAGGGGCAGGACGAGGAGGAGGGAGCCGAGGAGGAGGCGGTGAGGGGCGGCCAGGCGCGGGCCAGGAGCCATGCGGAGCCCGCGGCGAGCGGCGGCAGGAGCCAGGAGCGGCATGAGAGGAAGCGGAAGAGGCAGGAGGCGCAGCAGCTGCAGAAGATCCAGCACCTGGAGTCTTTGTAAGGAGCGGAGGAGGGGAGGCTGCCCGCGGCTCCCGCCCCGGCTTTGCCCTGAGCAATCCCCGCCGGAATTTGGGGCTCGTTTACAGTGCAGGGTTTGGGGTTTTTTGGGGGGTGGTGATTATTTTTCGCCTGCACCCTTAGGGGTGAGTTGGTAGAAGGGGCAGAGTTGCTTGGTGACTTAGGAAGGGCTTGTTGGGGGACAGAAGGGGCTCTCCCGGGTCCCTCCGAGTCTGATATATGCAGCATATTCAGTCCATTTTTTCAGCATGGACTGAAAAAAAAAAAAAAAAAAAAAAAAGAAAGAACGAAAAAGAAATTGGGATAAAATAATAAGGTGCTGTAAAAAGTTTATGTTATTTCACTGAAAAGGAATTATTGTTTTAATGGAATAAAAATGTCAGAAGGTATACAAAAACATGATTTTGTTTTTTTCTTTTCCACGTGCAAGTGAAAATCAGTTTGTTATTAAATGCATCAAAAAGCACTCCGAAGTTATTGTTATAAAGATGGGATGAACACACTTTACCCACCCTGCTGCTCTTAGCGTATTAGGATGATTGTGCCTGGCAGTCCTATAGATATATAGGGGTGTCTGTGAGTGCACAGCTCAGCCAATCAAATATCACCTATGCCATCAAATTTATGGCCTAAAATTATGCACAGCCAGGACACTTGTTTTGTGTCCTGCTGAGGCAATATGTGGGTTATGTCTGGAAAGCCCTGTTGAAAAGAGTCTTTATAAAGCAGATGGTTTCAGGACTCTGGACACAAAACAATCCCCCCAAAAAAGTCTCTAGATCTCTGTTCTCTTCTAAGATAACTCTACACTTTCACTAAGACGGCAGTTTACAGGAGATGTTGTATCTGTTTAAATACCGATGAGATTTGAGGGGGAAAAATAGCCAATACAAATCCAGTTACACAGACCAGACCTGCATCTTTCTAATTAATGTGTATTCTTTACCTCTCAGACCATTTTGTATTGCATTGGCATTTAACTCCTTAGCACATGCATTGTCTCATTTGCTGTGTGCTCGATGTAGTACCTGTTTGCTACCTGGATGTTAACAAATGTTTTATCTATTGTTAACTCCAAAGAAATGCTGCAGAAAATATGATACTTTGGTCAGTAGGGTTCTGTCTTTAGGTTTAGTGCACAGAAGATGATGAAATTATTATGCATAGGTTTGGCTGGCAAAGCTAGATGTAAGGAACTGTCTGACTTGACAGTTGCAGCTGGCTGTGTCTGTTTTTCAGTAGAGCTGGATTAAAGAAGTTTGGAGACCTCAGGGAGGGGTGCAGCAGAAAAAGAGGAGAGAATTACACATGTATGGTAACTGAAGCTAAATCAAATATACTACATATCCCCAGGAAGTGGTTGTGCTCCCACAAGAATAAGAATCTGAAGGATGTTTGCAAGAAACATGTATACTAATATGATAAATACTGTCTCTCAGCTTGCTTTATCCATGTTCTCCTGTAGTTCTTAGTTATAAGTTATAGGGTAAAATTTTAGGAAAAATATGAGCTGAAGGCTTTAACTCAATACCACTGAAAAAAAAATATGTATTTTTTCAATTTATTTGTATGTGCTAAGCTGCAGAGTAACAATATTTCTGTTGCTTTTCAGCTATGAGAAACCTCCCCCTGGGCTAATTAAGGTTGGTAAAAAGCAGTTATTTTCTAGGATTATGAGGGATTTTCACAAAATGTGTTCTTTAGGTGTTTAAGTGTCCATGTTATCTATATAAATTACAGAGAAAAGTAAGTGCTTCCCAGGAAAAACTCAGAGAATCATTGCAAGCTGACCACTTTGTCTTGGTAATCCAGAGTGAAATGCCCAGGGTCAGATAGAAGGAGACCAGGTCTTTCATCATCTCTTAGCATACTTCATGCAGTATTTAATTGTGTGGATAGAGGGGAGCTATTTGTGGAAAACAGACTTTTGGTTTGAATGATGTCTTTTCAGGATTCCTCCCTATTGCTTAGGCCAAAATAATTCTTTCATCATGATCATTACTTTTACCAAATTTATATACCTAAGCCATAAAGTAATGTTTTTAACGTAAAAAATAACTGCTCTGTGTTGTAAAGGCTTCCTTGAAATTGTTACATCTTTCCAGCAGGAAGAAGACAACAAAGTCTCTGTTTTGTGTAAAGTTTTCATTTCTATTATTTATTCAGATAAATTACTAAAATGGATGGGAAGGATTGAAATTGCTGTGCATCAAAGTTCTGGCTGCAAAATTCAAGGGTGGGAAAAAAAAGAAAGAAAAAAGAAAGAGACAATTATTTTAGATCCTTTGTGTCTTACAAGGAAAAAAGGTAATGGGACAAATATATTTCCTGTTATGTGAAGGTCTGTGAACTGGAAATATTAATTCTTGCAAATTTAAAAAAAGGAAGTTTTTTTGTTGTCCTTATCTTTCTGCTTTTTTTTGTAGGAGAATGAAACAAAGCCAGAAGACTGCATACCTGATGTACCAGGCAATGAAAGTGCACGAGAATTCCTGGCACATGCCCCAACAAAAGGGCTTTGGATGCCTTTGGGAAAAGAAGTCAAAGTTATGCAGTGTAAGGCCGAAAATATTCCAGATGTCATTGGACTGTTGTGTATCCATCTGTTTGCGCTGGGGGAGGGCAGAATGTCTGGTGGACAGATGATGAAGTCCAGGTAGATTGACATCATGTTGATAGAAAAGGAAACAGTATCTTGAAGGCTGTAATAGCCTAGCATTTTATGGACATTACATTTATCAACATAGTGGTTGTATTTCTCTGTTTCTTCCAACAGATTGAAAATATTTTTCAGAAATGTAGTTTTGGCATTTTGTGCTTCTTCTGATCTGTCTCAGAGGTGCAATTCACTGATGCTTATTTTTTTTTAAAGGTTGGAGATGTAAACGTTATGGACACAGAACAGGAGATAAGGAATGCCCATTCTTTATTAAAGGCAATCAGAAATTGGAACAATTTAGAGTAGTGAGTACCAATATTGTAGTATTACTGCTTGTATTTTTTAGTACTGATAATGCATAATCTTGCAACTGAAGATAAGCCTGTTAGATGATGCCTTATTAAGGACTTTTTCTCTGTCTCTAGTATAACATAGATGCCAAAAATCTCCTAATAAGGAAAAAGCTACAAGTGTGGTTGGATGTTTGACTACTTTGCAGAAAATCCACTCTTCAAGAGGAAAATTAATAATTTTTACATATAAATTGGAAATCTTCAAGAACCTGTTTCAACCATTATATTCTTTTTTGTGTGCGATTAAAATGTCAACATAACAAAAAATGTTTAGTCAAGCTTGAGCTGCCCACATCACAGCTGCTTCAAAGCCTTCTGCTCTCACTGTGACCAACCACATAATGAATGCTGTTGTCTAGGTCTGTTATCCAGTCATTGTGTACAGGTCTGATCTCTTGCTGCATGAAGCTACGTATCAGTTCTGCAGATTCTTCCTGTGTGATCTCTTTAACTATATCTGTTGCTCTGCATCATTGACCTATATTTCAAGCTGTCATCACTTCATGTCTTAAGTCCCCATTTCTGTCCTTGAAAAATGTAATCTTGACTTAGTCTGTCCAAGTTCTGGATCTGTACTGATTGTATGCAACTGCAAAGAGTATTTTTAGCCCTTTCCCATTACCAGATTGCCTCTAGTCTTCATTTTCCCTCAGGCTTCTTTGTTGCATCAAACTCTTTGTTGTATCAAACTCTTTGTTGTATGTCCAAGGCCCTTCATGGTGCATTCCCAACGTCTTTCATTTGCTCCTGAAATTTCAATTCCCACCTCTGGTCAGCGTTGGCCTTCTCTCCTCTCAGCTGGACTTGTTTGCTTAATTTTCCAACAAAAATGACCACCCCACCTTTTTTCAGCATTCTTGCATGGCATGAACCCACCTTAAACGTCTGCAAAGTTTATTTGCTGTCTTCCTTCACAGCTATCTTTTGCTGCAATGGCCATTTAATTTGATTTTAGAACCAGTAATGGTAGTGCATAGCCTGATAGAACAACTTCATTATCCATATTTTATATTCCTTTCTCCTGTATTCCTGTTTGTGTATATCCAGATTTTTTAAATGTACTGTGAGGGTACAGTACAGATCATTATTTTGAACTTGAGTATTCTATCTAAGTCTGGCTATTCCCACAGATTATGTATGGGATTCTCATAGTTGGCTGTGATTGGAGAGGTAGGGAGATGTATACCTAAGGAGAGTCCCCTTCTTTGGAGAAGTAGCTAGATAACTTTTCCCTAAAGCAAATACACCAGTTCAGGTGAACAGTGCTAAGTCTGACAGTGAATTAAGAGCTTGCTGAGCATATTCAATCTTTTGCTAAAAGCCTCTTGCATTTGGTTGATTTGGTTCCTTTTTTTAGGAAATAAAACCATTGGTGATAACATTGCATTTCCTGTTTTCTATTTTAAAGGCACATGAAGATCCAATGTATGATATAATAAGGGAAAATAAGCGTCATGAAAAAGAAAAGAGGTGAGTGTGTCTGTAGTAAACAGCATTTTCAATTTAGTTTTTATTTTGGCAATGTGGCACTAATGTATAGGTGACGTTTTTATAGAAGCTTATTTGTATTTCAGAACATTTTTTTAATGGCAGTTTCTTTATGCATTTCTACTTTCTAAATAATCACTCTTTAGTACTTCCAATCACTTCAGTTCTTTAGCTTTTGTATTTTCCCCAAAACAAAGTTTAAAGAGCAGTTGCATGCATTTATACCATAATATTGAGGTACTTAGGTGTGCTTTTGGTCTAGGCCTGAAAAAACAGTTTATTTTTTTTCTTTCACTGACTTCACTGAGATGTTTTCTAGAATTTGGTTTGTCAGAATGTTTTCAGTAGAAATGCAAGGGGGTTTAGAAAGCTAGTTCTAGGCATCTGATATTGCTGCTTTTGCGAGGTCATTATTTAGTACATAAAGAGGCAGTTTTTTATGCTTTCTTGCTTGAACTTTTTCAGTGGGATAACTGAACAAACTATAGGTAGCCTGTAGAGCAGCACTCTTGGAGAAGAATCCTTGAAGAGGGTGCAAACAGCAACAATGAAATAAGCAAATACCTTGTCCCTATTTGCCAGTAATCCTTGAATGTTCAAAGGAAAAGTGCCTTTCAAAAATACTTCTACATCCAGTTAGAGCCTACTTTGTCAGCTTCACTGACATCTTCTCTGTATCAGCAAGGCAATGAATGTCATAATATCCTAATCCCAGTACGCCTCCTTAGGCAAAAGCATAGGGCAGAACTTCTTATCACTAGGTGGGCTGGTGATAGCTGTTGCCTTATTATTTTGCACACATAAATAAGCCAATAAGCTAGTCTGCCTTTCCTATCCAATGGGATGGAAATCCCTGAAAGCAGAACGTCTGCTTGCCTCAGAGGAGTTGCTTTTATCAGTCCATGATATTATCTGTAAGAAGAGTGTAATTACACAAAAGAGGAAGCGTTCCTCTGCCCTTTGCATGCAGCTCAACCATTTCTCAAGCCAGGAAGGAAAGACAAAAGCTAGGGAGGGAGGATGAGCTAGAAGGGATTTTCATTCACATATTTTAAACTCAGGATACAGCAACTGAAGCAGCTCCTGGAGGACTCTACCTCAGAATCTGATAGCAGTGATGACAGTGATGAGGATGATGAAGATGGCAGCAGCTCCACTTCCTCAGAACATAAGCACAAGAAGAAAAAGAGAAAAAAGGAAAAGAAAAAGAAAGAAAAGAAGAAGAAGAAAAAGAGGAAGCGTAAATTATCCAAATCAAATGACAAGTCAGAGTCTGATTGACAGCAGTCACCTGCTGCATGCTCATTGACCTCTCTACTTGTGAACTGCAAGGAAAGATCCAAAGAATGAGGAGGAAAACACCAGAAAGGGCTTTATTAAACTTGGAACATACATGTGTATGCATACAGCTTCCTACACTGGCATCCACTTCTGCCCCTCTGCAGCCAGAAAGAAGAAAGCTGCATTAAACCATATCTTTGTGCTGTAAAACCCATGCCAAGATTCATCCAGCTTGGTCAGATGGGGCCTCTGCATTGCTGCCTGTGACCAGCAGCAGAAAGCGGCAACCACCAAGGGATCACCGACAAACCTGTAGCAGACTGCCTGTTGGAGTGTCTTTACTCCATAAAGTTATTTTATTATATACAAAGCCTCATTGTAACAGGACTGCAGATTGCACCCTGCAGAGCACTGAGGATTCCCTTACAGTGCTTGTACTGTATTTTCTTCTGCGCATACTTGCTGAAGTTCTGTGTACTTATCCTAATATTGGCAGCTAGGGAAATAAAGAGTTCTGCTGCAGGGGAAAAAAGGTAATCAAGGGGATTTACTTTGAGACAAAATTGCAGCATCAACAAGACTTGAATTTTTTTTTTTTTTGGTGTGTGTGTGTAATAAAATCTCAATATCGCCATCATTAATGCACAGTCCTGAAACACCTAAAGTGAAACATCTACAGTGTCTAAACCATAGAAGTGGGAGCCAAGTGTAATGATGTTAAATATTCAACTTAACTGTAAAGAGGTAGTAGGTTTAGTTATTTTAAAAGGGGGGGTTCCTTGTAAGAAATTATAAAGATGATTTTTTTCATATTCTGAAGTATCAGTTGTTTTGATACAAGTTGAGGGAGATTTCCTTTTTAAAAGGTTTGGGGGTAATAAATTCCCACTTTCTTTGTTTTCTAGATTTGATGACATAACTTTTTTTGAATCATCTCATTAGAATATAATGTGTAAGGCTCTCAAAATAGTTTTCAACTATATGCTTGAAATTGTTCTTAGGAGACCTTGCATACTGACCACACTTTTCTTTTAAATAATCTTGCAGACTCAACCAGGAAGATGGAGATAGTTATAAACAGCATTACAGTAACCAACTCTCTTTGAAACCTCAAGGTACATATTAGTACAGGGCTGTGAATTGAACTAGATGATGGATAGGGGTACTGTGCAAAAGGAAAGCGAAAACTAGATTTGCTTTGAATGAACTTCCATAAAATTTAGGCTCTGTGGGTATGCTAAGATTGAAAAAAAAAACAAAACATATGATACAGCTCTAATACAGTAGAGTGGACATTACAGCAAAATCAAGGAACCATAGACTACAATGCAGCTAAGATATTTTTTTATTTTCTTCAAAGCTTTGGAAGAGATGACAAGGGAATGTCTAAATTAAAATGTTTTTTCTCCCTCCTACGTGTCTAAGAGTGATTTCGTAAAAATAACTCCCCATTCCTTGCCAGTCATTCGCAATATGTTCTGAGGAAAAACAGGATAAGTAAGGCCTACTTACAGAAAGTTTCTGTATCATATTCCCAGACCTTGGAGGTAGAGTTGTATTTTCGCTTGTATTTAGCAGATTTCCCTGTGATGGGATTTACTGGTGATTCACAGTGGTTCCATATATCAGCAGCATCATCAAATTCTAAGGCCCTTGTTCTTTCACCAGAAAAAAAGATTTAACAGCTGAAATAGCATGGGGAGATCTGTACTGGACCGATTCTCTTGACCAGGTTGGACAGGGCTCTGAGCAACCTGGCCTAGCAGGAGGTGGCCCTGTGTATGGCAGGGGGCTGAAACTAGATGATCTTTACAGCCCCTTCCAACCCAAACCATTCTAGGATTCCTGTATTGCCACACTTGGTGCTGAGATTAATGCATTATTGATTATTATGAGATTATTGAGCGGATGCTGTAAGCCTGATATTGACCTGATGCATGCCAAAAGAACTCTTACTCTGGCTTGTCTAGAGCAGGGCTAACTTAACACCTCTTTAGTTACTTCAGCTTTTATTAAGATTGTTCTGAAGCTTAGTTTAACAAAAACAGTTTTTTCTTAGCAATCCCCTTCCTTGGTAATGGAATCTTGTATCTATCAGGGTTTATTATTTTAACAATTAAGAAAAATACATTAGGAGACCATTTCTAACTTGTATCAAATCTAATTTAAATGTTTGAGATGCCAAATCACTTTTCTATGCCTGACTAAAGGTCTGTTATAGCACTGTTTTTCCAATCATGGTTAATAGAACATACCTCCACAGCAGAGCAGTTCAAGCTCTGCTATTATTTCTGTTACTTCATTGAAATGAGAGTACCTATGGTGCAGATACTTAGAATGATGGGTTAGATTTTAGTATTTAGTGGCCTTGGATATATATTTTATATCCACTCACTGCTTATAAACCTTGCCATTTTCCTTAGCAATGAATTCTTCTTATTTATTGGTCTGTAGCAATTGGCTTTCACACTGCTTCATACTAGTTTCATTTCACACACTTTTAATCTTACACTGGAAGGTGTGTGAGTAACCGATTCCTGTTTGTTTTCTCTTTATAATTTCCAGTTTCATAAGCCCCTGTCATATCCCATGTAGGTCTTTACTGCAACTTATAAAAGTAGCATTTCAAAATTTAACAGTTTCAATAGACTTAAGATTAATAGGTGCTCTTTTAACAGCCTGGGCTAGAGTGCTGAGAACCATGATTCACATCATCATTTGGCATTCTAAACAGCGCCAAAGCTGTCATTTAAGATAAGTCCTTTAAAAATATGTAGACGAGAGATAAATACCAACACCCCTTTAGATTAATGAAAAACAGTTCTATGGAGAAGTAAACCCCAAAAGCAGAATAGAAAGTTTTAGTCTTGAAAAACTGACTAGCCTTATTTTTTAAATCATAACTATTGAATGTTTTTGTTCAAAAAACATTTTTTCCTGGTCTTCTTTACAGACATGTATTTCCATTTGAACATTCTGTTGAAGTCCAAGTGATATTAATAACATGATTATATAGTCCCATGAAGCTAAATAAGTGTTAAATGCAGCTAAAACAACCCTCAAAGGCAATACAGATTCCCAGGTCTTTTATCTTAATACTCTGCATCATTTCTGTAAGAAAGGTAGTTCAGGTAAAATACAAATAATTTTGTTTATTTCTTTGGCTAGTCATTTAGTTGGGGTTTATAGTCTTTTTGAGTGAGACAGCCAGTAGCAGCAAGTCAGGGGAAGCTAAGTACTCTAAAACAAAGAATGAATTTGTTTTTCTTTGGTATGCCTTCAGTTGGCATCCCATGAGTGTTACAGGCTTTTTGGGTTTGGTTTGTCTTTTTTTTTTGCCATTGGCTCTGATCTGCCTTTGTTTAATTTTAATAGAAAAACCTGTGGTTAATATTTTCCAGTATAAGGCAGAACACCAGACACTGTAAAAGGGAAAAAAAATTCATGTCATCCAGGTGTACCAAACTGAATATTAAAATACAGAATACCTGGCCAGCCAACAGAATCCACAACTGCACATTTGTAATTACACCACACTCACTTTGCAACAGAGGTTTCAGTTAGCTACAAATAATGATTTAGAAATCCTGAGCCCCAGACAGCAAGTCTGTCCAAACAATGCTCTCAGTATGGCAATCTCAGAGGCTTCTATTTGTTGCTGGTGTGCCAAGCAGCAAATAGATTCTTCAGCTGCCTTTCAGGAGATGCTGCAGGAAGCGTGTGAAAACTTCCAAGGCAATGCAGTACTGCGACAGTTACAAATTCACAGTGCTGCCAGCTCTGCAGTGAGTCACTGGGCAGTCAGTCTGGCTGCAGTGGGAACCAAAGCTGACACGTGTGTGCATCTGCAAAACCAAATATCACTGTGCCTTAGTTACCTGGCTGAATAAACAAGAGCCTAAGTTTGAACTCCCAGTCTTTTAAATGCAGTTTGTACTTCACAGCCTTTGTGAAGCATGGCCTTTTGACTCACTGGAACATTGCTTTCAGCTGTAGGCCAGTTAAGATGCAATCCACAAATTGTCCATGCTGCTGAATGGAAAAAAAGCCAAGTAGGAGATTTAGTTTTATAGTCACAAGACTAGTACTGTTAGACTAGAATACACTGCATATGACTTTATCAAGGAATTATTTATTGAACCCTGGAGCATTCATGCATACTACATTAAGTATTGGGCATAGCATGGGTACAGTACAAGATATAACCAGTTTAAAATAGCATTTGTTGCCAGATAAAGAGCTAAAGCTCTTTGAGTTTTTTACACTCAAGAGTGTAAACTCTTCTACTGCTACTCCCTCACATCCTCTCAGGAGCATCACCAGGCCCTAAATTGCTTCTTGCAGCTGAGCAGAAATCACACTGAGTAGTGCAAGGCCTGTAAAAGGATGACCAAGACGATAATTTGGAGTACCTGTCAAGTCTTACCCATTCCCAAAAGGAAGAATGCCATCTGATTGTGAGGTCATGAATATTCCTTTATAAGGTAAGCAGCAAAAGACACAGCTAAGGCTATCAACAGAAATGGGTGGTAAAAAGCTCCATGCTTGAATTCCTCATTTTATTCTTTGATGTTCTGGTGCAGAGATTGGCACAGAAGCCAAATAAGAATTTTTAATGCATTTCTTTTCTTTCATTGCTTTAAGTAAAAAGAAATTGAAAACTTGTTATCACCATGACTTCTCTAACAGCTAGTGGGAAAGGCTGTAGTTATAGCAGAGCTTTAACAATTAACCAGGTGGTATTAAAAATAATAGAGAGATAGCATCAGTTGAATAGGGAAACATCAGTACGCCTCACTAAGAAGGAAAACAGCATAACTTCAGTTACAGGTCAAACGAGTAATAGGTAGGCACAAAACCTGAACAGTCTCAGGAAATGCTACTTTTATCCATGTAGCTTACTCTAGGACACAGACAGACTAAGAACATGGGAGAGAAGGCAAAATACAAGTTCTGTCTGTCCATTCACCCTACCTTTTTTTAAGGAAAAACAGATGTTTCATTAGGGTTTTTTGTTTCCCCGTTTTCTTCTCTGATGCTATCACTTTGTGAATCATTCAAGTCTGGCAATATCATATTTATTCTCCTCACACAGTAATAATAGCCTTAATAGACATGGGGAAAAAATTACATATTTTTGAGCTATCTACCTCATCTAGATCAGTCTGTTACCATTATTCCTATTCAGCACAGACCTAATTTTATTGTCTTAGTTCTATAAAAAGAATTCCAGGGACAGTATCAGCTGTAAGTCATAGAAGTCATCAGTAAGAAGTCAGAAAACAGGACACTCCACTAAAAACTTCTGTTTTACCTTTCAGACCCATATCTCAGGGTCTCTACAAAGGAATCAAAAATCTCCAGAGAAAACAGGGAGAAGGAAGCATTACATCAACTCAGTGCTTCAGTCTTAGTCCTCTATCATGAGAGTAGGATCTGAGGAACTACACTGAAACTTTAAAACAGCACTTGACTTCATACAGCTGTAACTATATTCCTTTACATTTTGACAAAAATAAATCCAGCTGATAGAAAAGGATCTTGTACTTACGTCCAGATCATGTGACTATGAGATGACATGGACAGGCTTCACAAATCTGCAGAGTTTAAGGACAGGGCAGCAATAACTGTCATGCTATAATAGCAGTTGTGCACATACATGGCCATCTCAAGTGTTTTTGCTTGTGTAAAGATGGAACACAAGAAGTCTCAAAGTGCAATTCTATGAAATTTATTATTTAAATAGTGGATGTGCTAGTTATAAAAAGGTGACTTTGGTGTTAAATACTTCATTCAATTTTACTTGTGTCTTCAGTCTTCACAGTGTCACTTCTTGCCCTTTTAGAGTGAACAGCAACTTACAAAATATACAGAAGAATAATAATCAAATTTTGGATTTATACAAAAAAAACTTTTGGGTCCCCCCCCACTTCTGCCCCAGTATTTGCAATTATCTTTTCTTAGAGAGGGACTTCCTTGTTCCATGCCCTAAAGGTAAAAAAGAAAAAAAAATTAGGTATATATTTCACCTCCAAACAGTGTCAATTTGCTTAAAAAAAAAGACTGGATATCAGTGATTGTCTTTTCCTATTGCAGGTACTGATGGTTGATATTAGAATTATGTACTCAACTTCCCAGATAGTATAAAATATGCATGAGTGGTTTTGGACTTCAGAATATCCCAGCATAACAGATAAGAGTTCCATATGAAGCTCATATCACATTCTCCGTGTGCTCTTATAACTACATTGTTGAAGGTATCCAAGAAACATCAACTATTTCTGGGGAAAATACAAGAAGAGTTTTGGGATTCTGCATGTTTCCTGGATGCTTCTACTAAAAACTGGTCAGCAATAAAAGGTTTAAAACCAATGTTCAAATAGTCTGGCTTCAGGACTGATGCAAGTTTTCA